TCCCAGGCCCAAGTGATCCTCCCACCTGAGCCTCCAGGAGAGTTAGGACTACAGGCACGCGCCACTACGCCCAGCTAATTTTTTTGTATTTTTTGGTAGAGACGAGTTTCGCCATGTTGGCCAGGCTGGTCTCGAACTCCTGACCTCAAGTGATCTGCCCACCTCAGCCTCCCATAGTACTGAGATTACAGGTTTGAGCGACCATGCCCGGTGGGCATTTTTGTTTTATCCCATAAATTCAAAGTTTAGATTGAAGCTAGAGGAAGATAAACAACTGTAGCAAGATTTTATAAAGAAACAATTAGACAATAGATAGGTTATTCTCACTTTAACTTCAAATGTTACAGTCGTGTGCCATATAATAGCATTTCAATCATGTGGAATGTATTTACGATGGTGAAAAATTCCTGTTGCTTCTTGACTTAGCCATTATAACACTGCAGTGCAACATGTTACATGTTTGTGTTGATGCTGGGGTAAAGAAACCTACTTCACTGCAGGTCATATAAAAGTATAGCACATCTAACTATGTACAATATGTAATGCTTTATATTAATAAATGATTGTTACTAGTTTATGTGTTTAGTATACTATACCATACTTTTTATTATTTTAAGAGTATACTCCTACTTATGATAAATAAAGTTAACTGTAAAACAGCCTCAGGCAGGTCCTTCAGGAGGTATTCCAGAAGAAGATATTGTTGTCGTAGGAAATGACAGCTCTATGGATGTTAGTGTCCCTGAAGACTTTCCAGTAGGACAAGACGTGGAGGTGGAAGACAGTGATATTGAAGATCCTGGCCCTGGGTGGGCCTAGGCTAATGTGCATGTTTGGGTCTTAAACAAAAAGTTTAAAAAGTAAAAAAATATATTTTTTTTAAAAAAAGAAAAAAGCATACAGAATAAAGATGCAAAGAGTGAAAATGTTTATTCAGCTGTGCAATGTATTCGTGTTTAAAGCTAAGCATTATTACAAATAAATCAAAAAGATTAAAAAAATTAAAGTTTATAAAGTAAGAAAGTTATAAGCAGCTAAGGTTAATTTATTATTGAAGAGAGAAAAAATGTTTAATAAATTTAGTGTAACCTAAGTATCCAGTGTTTATAAAGCCCACAGTAGTATACAATAACATCTTAGGCCCTTACATTCACTCACCACTCATCACTGACACACTCAGAGCAACTTCCAGTCCTGCAAGCTCCATTCACGGTAAGTGTCCTATACAGGTGTACCAGCTTTTACCTTTCATATTGTATTTTTACTTCACCTTTTCTATGTTTAGATCACAAATATTTTCCACAGTGTTACAAGTGCCTACAGTATTCAGTACAGTAACATGCTTTGCAGGTTTGTAGCCTAGGAGCAGTAGGCTCAGGTGTATAGGAGGCTATACTATCTAGGTTTGCATACATGCACTCTACGATGTTCATACAATGACAAAACCGCCTAATAATGCACTTCTCAGAAGGTATCCCTGTCATTAACTGATGCATGATTATAACTTGCTACTTAATTGTACGGTAGTAGCTTCTAAAACTATAAGCATGGCACCTAAAAGGAACTACAAATCCAAATTTACTTCAAGGTGAAAAAATAATGACCTTAGGAAAGTCTGTCGCTTATTAGTGTGGCAGACATGTTGTCAAGGAACACAAAGCAAGCTTTCTCTGTTAAATGATCATCATATTTTTGTCAAAGCTGTTATCTGCTATTTACCAAGATAATTTTGCAGTCTGAAGGAAAAAACCCTTTAAACGTTGAAACAATGTTTTAATCTAAATGAAAACTTTGAAGTTTTGAAAGAACTTGTTGGTCTAAATGAAAGATCATAAGAAGATGCTAAATTGAGATTTTCACCGTAATAGATCGCTGGTAGTAGCTGGCATGACTATGGGGCAAGAGAATAACATTTCATAATTTTCTGCAATACCACAGATATATGTAGATAGCAATAACTTGGGAAACGAGGTTTTAGTAGTTTTTACAAAATATTCAGGGCTCTGTGGTACCAGGAGTTCAGAGTACAAGAGGGTGCTGTTGAGCTGACTATAAAAAATATTGGCTTTGTTTTTGCAACCAAGGGCAATGTTAAGCAAACACATGTATATTGGAATCACTTTCTACTTTATGTTGCCTTTAAAGAACATAATTTAATTCTATCAGTTTCCCAAGTTAAGAATATAAAAGTAGAACTGTGGTGCTCTTACTAAGCTGTGGAGGGATAGCCTGAGGAATCTGACCAGACAGTGAAGGGTCTGAAAACCATATTGTTTCAGGAATGGCTAAAGGAAAGGCGGGGATAATCAAAGAGAAGAGAATTAGATAGAAACATTTAACGGTCTTCCAAATACTGTATGTAAAAAGGAAAAAGATTAACTTTATAGCGGAGAAGCCCAGCAGATTAACACCTTAATCAAATGATCAAAATGAACATCAGTAGTAATAGAATAAATCAAAATCATGTGCTGCCCAATAGGCTTCAGTGAGAAGAAAACAGCACCACTTCTGTGATATTCCTGCTAAAAGATACACAACTTGAATCTAATCATAAGTAAACACCAGACAAAACAATATTGAAAAACGGTTTACAAAATAATTGGCCTGTAATCTTCAAAGTGTCAAAATCATAAAAGTCAAAAAAAGACTAAAGAATGTCAAAATCATAAAAGTCAAAAAAAAGACTAAAGAACTGTTTTAGAATGGAGACTAAACAGACAGCAAAACTAAATAAAACATGTGATTTTGAACTAGATCTTTTTGCCATAAAATATTTACTGGGACAATTGGTGAAACTTCAATGGGGTTTCAGGAATAGATGGTAGTAATGTAGCAGTGCAAATTTTATTGTTTTGATGGCTGTATTGTGGTAACTTAGAAGAAAGTCCTTTTTTTGTAGGAAATATACACTAAAGTATGGGGGGGTATCAGGCCAACAACTCATCTCAAATGGTTCAGGGAAAAAATGTTTTTTATGCTGTTCTTGCAACATTCCATACGTTTGAAATTATTGCATTAATATCTTAAAATTTTGAAACAAAAATTTCAATGTTCCCTGAGCCAATCATTAAACAAAAAAACGTGAAAAAATATGTGAATAGCTGTTGCCTGGAAGAAGGCTTCTAAAGGGATGAACTAACATCACCGGGTAGAACTTATCAGGAAGCAAATTTCATCTCAATATAAAGATCTTTATAACATAATTAGACTAGTCCAAAACCCAAATCTCAACTGGACTACCTGTGAGTCAGTGAGTCCCCTGTCAAAAAATTTTAGACACTGGCAGTTCACCTAACAGATATTGTTAGAATGCATTTTTCTTTGGATGAAAAACAAACTAGATGATATACAAATGTCTCTTTCAACTTTAAGGCACTAGCATGCCATGATTCTACTTCTTTTATATGAACCTCTGTTTTGAATCTTGAATAACCACTGTATTAGAATAATAATTAGACATCTCTCAGGCACTGCTCCCTTCTTTAGAACCCTGCTATGGTCTTCAACAGCATTAAAGACTTAGCTTCCGCAATAAAGATTATTAACTGGTCATAGTATTCAGAGGCTTTAGGAACTCCCCTTTTCCAGCTAAAAGAATTATACTCATTATTCAAGACCTATCTCAAAGTTTTCCCACTCTGTGAAATTCACCCCAAATTCCCCAAGCAGAGTTAGAGTCATCCTTTTGTTTTTCATACCACTTTGTATGAGAGCAGAGCTACTTCTATAGGACTCACTCTGTTGTATATTTTTAACTTGAAAAATTTTTCTTCTAAAAGGTAAGTACAAAAAATTTAAAAATTTTTATATATTCAAAATGATTTATGTAATCATCTACCTCCATTCCTATTCCCTGGACTTTGAACTCCTTCAGGGCCTCGAAGCTATATTGTTTGTCACCTGAATCCCTCAACAAGCTTTGCAGTGCCTGAGCCTCAAGTAGGCTGGCACGCTTATCACCTTCAGCAACCACCACAGAGTTTATAATCTAATGAAGTTCCAGGATAAACACAAACATATACAAGTCAAAGATGAACAGAACCACATAGAGCAAATACAGAATAAAACTAGCTTCAAGGGTAGAGAGCCTTTCACAAATGTTATTAGACTAAGGGCTTTTTGAAGGCACGTATCATGATTCATCCGTTCCTGTATTTGCAGCGCCCAAGCACAGTGCTTGGCACATCGTATATGCTCAAGGAATATATATGCTATGATGGAGGAATCAAATCGCCTCACCTTTAAATACACCTTTTATGAGTGGCGCCACTGCTGTATTGAAGACTTCTTCCTGTTCAGTAGAGGGATCAAACACAAAATCGTAGGTGAAGGATTTATCTGTACCAACCACCACCTAGAGAAGGCAAGGGACAAGGCGTAAGGGAAGAAATGAAAGGCAAGACCACACCCCTCGTTACCATTTGGCCCCAGCTATTCAGACACAGGCTCTGGACTCTGCTACGCACCTGAGGCTCCCCGGGCACGAAGGAAAGGCACATCTGGCAGCCTTCGCTAATCTCTTTGGGGACCAGAGGGCGACAACGCAGCGCCACTCTTACAGGAATTCCCTTCACCTCTTCCTTCATGATCCTATCTCAGCACCGTCTCTGCGAGGGGGAAAAAGAAGGCTCGCTGATGAATGTTAGCAGGTCAGCAGGGGTGGGAGGGCGTCCTCCTCGGTTCCGACCCTTCTCAGCGGGAACACTGCCTTGGGAGATTCACTCTCCAGGACTTGGCCAGGGCTGGACCGTCCGTCAGCCCTGCACTCTAAAGAGAGTGCACGCGCGTCTGAAAGGCAAAGAAAAAACTCCAACGGGGACAGCGACAAAGAACCAAAGCCCTAGGGTACCGGGAAGAAACAGGTTCTGAGCTAAGGTGTGCCCCCGTAACTCACCAAACTAAATGTCCCTTCCCCGTTCTCCACGGGTCTCCAGCCGCCCTGTCCCAGACGGAGCTTTAACCGCCAAGTTTCAAATCCGTTCCGGAGACGCCAACCAATTGCAGTGCGGACTGCCGAGGGCGGAGCGCGCACGTCGGCGCGCGCAGGCCGGCGCGGTGGGAAGGGGAGGGTCAGTTTGTTGCACCCTGGCCCGGCCTCTTTTCCACCCTGCGGAGCATCCGCTTCCGGTTCCCAGACTGAATTGGCGGTGAGCGGAGTTTGAGGTCGCTGTGGACTGCCCACTGGTGAGGTGGTGCGGCGTTTATGCGGCCGAGAGCGCGGGACTCAGGCAGAATGTGGGATGGGGACGTGGGAGGTGGCTGGTCAGGTGAAGGAAGGGTCGATCGGGGGACCCTACCATTACTAATCGCATCTAGGAAATGTGGGGCGGTGCCTTGCCCCGAGTCCCTGCGGATAGTTAACACTCGCTTGGGCTTCGAAAGTAGATCTTTTTAGACTCGACCCTGATTTCCTCTTCTCTAGGTTTAAGACGGTAACATCTGTTTTGCAGGATTGTTGTGAAAAATGAGGTCCTCTTTCTAGAGTACCTGGCAGGTTGCTTGGCATCCAGAAGATGTTTAGCTAAGTTAAGAGTTTTCTTCTTCCTTCCTGCTCTCCTCCAACCTTAACACCTAGATGTGGGCTGTGCCCGTAGACTGACTGCCTTGGAATGGGTTGGAGCGGGTTTCTGAAACTTGCTGGGCTGCTCTCCCTTTTGAACCACTTTTTGTCTGTTCTGATTCACTCTTCCAGGGCCTTGCCCGAGATGGACAGCCGGATTCCTTATGATGACTACCCGGTGGTTTTCTTGCCTGCCTATGAGAATCCTCCAGCATGGATTCCTCCTCATGAGGTGGGAACCATCTGTATTCCTGAGTAGGAGATTTTTTTCCCCCTGGGCATGAGATGATGCATGAAAGGTAGGATGGCAGGGTTAGAAGGCGACATGGAGAGTGCATCTTAGCACTTGTAGCCAGAAGACCCAGAAGCTGGATTCTGAGCAGCAGGACCCATTGGGAACTTCTTTGTGGAAGCCTCCTGCTGGGGTCTGTTCACACCAGTTAATTCTGGAAATTTGGAGCCTTCCTTTCCATACTGTTAAGAGGTGAAGGCCAGGCGTGGTAGCTCATGTCTGTAATCCCAGCACTTTGGGAGGCCGAGGCAGGCAGATCACATGAGGTTGGGAGTTCGAGACCAGCCTGACGAATATGGAGAAACTCCGTCTCTACTAAAAATACAAAATTAGTCGGGCGTGGTGGCACATGCTTGTAATCCCAGCTACTAGGGAGGCTGAGGCAGGAGAATCGCTTGAATCTGGGAGGCGGAGGTTGCAGTGAGCCGAGATCAAGCCATTGCACTCCAGCCTGGGCAACAAGAGCAAAACTCCACCTCAAAAAAAAAAGGGAAGACATGGGGAGCTACTGGGCTGTCCCAATGCTGTCCATCTACTCATTTAGTCAGTGTTATCTGTTCTACTTAAATTAAGTCTATGACCTTTCCTTTTCCTGACTTCAGGGTGATTCATTAGTGATCCAAATGAAGGTAGGTATGAAGTAAGACTGGTAAAATTTCTGGGGTTACTGTGTCTTGCAGAGGGTGCACCACCCAGACTACAACAATGAGTTGACCCAGTTTCTGCCCCGAACCATCACACTGAAGAAGCCTCCTGGAGCTCAGGTGAACTTATGAAACCTTATTCCAGGCTAGATTCATCCATACCAGAAGTTGGTAGTGTTGGGGGGATGGATTGGAAAGCAGGTGCAGATGTGAGGAAACTTTCCTTCTTGTGGACAGAAAAGCTGAGATAACACTTCTACAACTTCTGACTTTCCTCTCAGGGACACACAAGCTGAGCTATTGCACGATGATGCTACTAGTTGTTCTTGTGTTTGTGGTCTCTATTGAGCCCCCATTCTGTGCTCTTGTCTTACAGTTGGGATTTAACATCCGAGGAGGAAAGGCCTCCCAGCTAGGCATCTTCATCTCCAAGGTATTTATGCCCAGTAGGCAATATGGATAGTTACCTCCCTTTGTTAAATTAACAGATTGCAGAACCCTAATGTCCCAAAGGCTGAGAGGATGACTCAGTGGATTCATAGAAGGGGTATAATGGAGACACCCCCTTTCCCACTTTAAACTTTTCATTTGGCAGGCCATCTGTCTGCATAGATTATCACAGAAAAACAATAGCACCTTACATTTGAATAGCACCGAATTTCACTGACAGTCTTCTGCAATTATCGCATCCCAATCACATGTATTCCCTCTTTACCAACAGGTAATTCCTGACTCTGATGCACATAGAGCAGGACTTCAGGAAGGGGACCAAGTTCTAGCTGTGAATGATGTGGATTTCCAAGATATTGAGCACAGCAAGGTGAGCACAGTACTTGGGCTGTGGTGCTGCAAGAAGCCATCTCAAATAGGACATATTGGACAGGAGTAGCCTAATCTGTAACTTAATGAGAAAGCATTTTGCTGGGCACTGTGGTACATGCCTGTAATCCCAGCTATTTAGGAGGCTGAGGCGGGAGGATCACGTGAGCCCAGGAATTTAAGACCAGCCCGGGCAACACAGCAAGACCCTATAAAAAAAAAAAAAAAAAAAAGATAGAGAAAGTAAGCACCTCTCCTGGGGAAAGTACCAGAGGGAAGCAGCTATTAGTGATACAGAGGTTGGAGTGGCAAATCCCTTTCCCCATGTTATGATTCTGTCTTGGGTCATATCTCTTCATTTGTACAAGCTGCTGTGTTCCTTCCAGGCTGTTGAGATCCTGAAGACAGCTCGTGAAATCAGCATGCGTGTCCGCTTCTTTCCCTATAGTAAGTGCCACTTTTTTCACTTTCCTGACAGGGCCGTAAGAACTCTTTAAATACTGATAGCTAGAGGCCCTACAAGTTGGGGATAGGGAATCGGGAGCTCAAGTGTGAAGATAACCTGCTCTGTTCCTCCTTTTCTTCTTCTTTCCTTCAGATTACCATCGCCAAAAAGAGAGGACTGTGCACTAGAAAGTTGCAGCCCACAGCCCTTCATGTGGACTCTGCCATGACATGCTAACTAGACTTCAGGAGAGCCACTTCTATTTTCAGCCCCTCCCTGGAATAGTGAGTTGGGAGGATGGGGAGACAGCTAACCAACTGAATTACCCAAACTGTATTGCACTTTTAGTTCCCTAGTTTTCTAGGTGAGCTTCATTCCCTGAAAGGAGGATGATATCTAGGCATAACCTAGCCTGTGAGGAACCTAGTTAGGAAAGACAGCTGACATTTATTGAATACCATGTACTAGTCCCTTACATATGTCATATTTTAATTATAGAAATCAGTAGCAAAAAGAATCTTGGGGATTTTCCATCTGACTTCCCTGACCATCTTATCCCATCCTTGTACTACCAGAGGATTCATACACTTTTGAGACTCCAAAGAGACCCTGTTTTCACCCCTTCCTCCTCCTAGCCTCTCCCCCAAAAAGTAAAACACAATGCTGAAGAAATATTGGTGTGGCTTTTGAATGTTACCAATTGGATGTAAAATGCTATTGAGGGAAGAAAAAGCTCTTCCAAAGAGAGGAGCCACTGGAAGGAACAGAGCAACACTATACCTACCTATGATGTCTGACCAGAACATTAGGGAGGCCGAGGAACTTTAACCACAGTATAACTAAGGAATGGCATAGAGTGAGGGGCACTGAAAGAAACTGCCTGTTCCCCTAGCTTTGAACATTTCTCTGCAGGGGACAGTATTAATATAATTCTCTCTTCTTTCTCATATTCTTTGATCTGGAACATAAACTAAGGAAGGGGCTTAGATGCATTTCTTTTCTGAGGCAGCAGTAAGAAATTGGTTCACAGTTTCCAACTTGTAAGTTGAATAGTACTAACTGCTGACTTCTCCCTTTTCTTCACCCCAGCCCCAAATAACATTCTGCCATGTTCCTAGATCTTTAGTTACCAATCCACCATTACAGGATTCCTGGTCACGCCTATGCCATCGCCACTGACATGTTCAAAATACCGATTTGGAATTGAAAGTTTTCTAGTGTGAGGCTGGGTGCGGTGGCTTATGCCTGTAATCCCACCACTTTGGGAGGCCAAGGCGGGCGGATAGCTTGAGGACAGGAGTTCGAGACCAGCCTGGCCAACAAGGTGCAACCCCATCTCTACTAAAAATACAAAAATTAGATGGGCGTGGTAGCACACTGCCTGTAATCCTAGCTACTCGGGAGGCTGAGGCAGGAGGATTGTTTGAACCCTGGAGGTGGAGGTTGCAGTGAGCCAAGATGGTGCCACTGCACTCCAGCCTGGCTGACAGAGTGACTGTCTCAAAGGAAAAAAAAAAAAAGTTTTCTAGTGTGGTGTGGGGTGATGTACCCCTATGATGAAGTCCCAAAATTTGCCTTGAAAGAATCCTGGGGAACTTAAATATATATTTATAGACCCGTCTACTGGACAATGATTCTGTTAGTCTGAGGTGGAATCTGGAAATCTGGATTTTTAAAGACGCAAAGGAAATAAGTAAATAAGTCTTCAAATGTAGGAAACATTGTTCTAAACAGTAGTACTATACTGTATGGGGAAGGTCTGGTTCTTCCTATATATCCCACCCTAGCTCTACTGACATACCTCTTCTAGAGCCTCAGTGCTATTGTTAGGTGGCAACATCCCTTGAGAGCAGAGCTAGAGGTAGAATTAATGTAGCTGTCTCTATGCTTCCTGGGAAATCCTGTTCTATGCTCCTATTTGCTGACCCCCTGCCCCGCATTGGCCACGAAAGAAAGAAAATAGTAGCTTGGTTACTTCCATAAAGGCATGTTGGGTGACTTGGCTGAATATTGAGGTCCAAGACTCTCCCTGTGGTTAACAGGTCTTAAAAAATGTATCTAAGAAGTATGAAAAACATGGTAAAAAGTCCCAGCCAGGTGCCATGGGCCTAAGAGGCAAAAACCCTCCTGCCCTAAATTGGTTCTCACTTGAGATACTTGGATTGCTTCTATGTTAGGGCACCAACATGAGATAATTGCATTGTGGAAATATAGGTATAGTGTGGAGAAAGCACAAGCAGTAACAGCCTTAGGTTAAAGAACCATTTATTGAGGGTGTACGTAAACAACAACAAACAGTGGAGGATGAATTGTATTGGCCTTTGAAGTATGTCAGCTGCTATAGAACTGTATTCTCTACAGATGTCTTCTAGCCATCAGAGAAGGTAAGGTAGAATTCCCAGGTGCTGCAAGAAGCTTCCACCCAGTAGCTGTGAGATGCAGTCGGGAAAAAATGATAGCACTTTCAGGGGTTCTGTTTTTACCCCAAGCCTAGAAATTGGAAGAGAGTAAGTGGCCATGTATCATAAAACGAGGTGGGGAGGAGAACTGGCATGGCAACCCCAAATGTAAGAAATCCATCAAATGAGGCAGAGAAAGCCTAAGCTGTCAACGGGAACAATAGCTTCTGTTGCCTGACTCCTCGAAGGATTCCAGTTCGATTTCAACTGCTGAAGTGTGTGTTAAGGAAGCTAATACAGTGAGGTGACTGGAATCAAATCTCAACACCCAGGGTCAGCTTCTAGGAGATGTAGAAGAGGAATTCTGATCTTACAATCCCTCTCACCTAAAGGCAAACCAACGAACTACTTTGGGCTAAAGTTAGTCCTGTTTTCCCCTTAAGTACCACTCAGGCATCAGCTCAGCAAAGGAAACTTACCTTCTCTACTTGTATACTCCCTACCCCAGCAAAGCTAGGAAAAAGGATACTCCCCTCTTTCGGTGGAGGTAAAGTCCTTGTGGAAAGAAGGGCAGAAACCACATGCCGGAACAGCTGTGTGTGTGTGAATGGTGACCAAAAAAAAAAAGGAAAAAAAAAGGTCAGGTTCAGAGGCTGGAATAATTCAGGGCCTTTGAGATACATGATGGGGAGATGAATCTTGACCCCCACCCCACAAAAGATAAGCCAAGGTTATCCAAAAGAGTAAACGGTGGTAGCTACAGACAGAGTGCAGTTAAAGTATTATAGAAAGAAACAAGTATTACCTTTTTCACGTTGTAACCGGTTTTGGCACTGGTCTCAATAAACATCACATTGAGGTTTCTGGATTTTTCTTCACCCTCTTCGGCAGTGACTTGTCTGGACGAATCAGAAATGATGAAAAGGGCCAGAGTTATTGGATATGGGTAGATTCTTCTGAGGTGTAATGATGCTTACCTAGCGCCAGGAACTCTAGAAGGCTTAAACCTATGACCCATCTGATTACAGGGTGGGGACTCTCTCCTATACCCCCCACATATCCTTGTGCCCTGATGGGACGCCCCCCTGTCCTTCCCCTCCTGCAGTGCTGGTAGTGGGCAGAGGAGACTAAGGTAACTCCTCCCCAAGTAAATAGAACACAGTTGACCCTCCCCATAGAGACTGAATTTTAGGTATGCCAGAAGAAATTGTAGTTATACTTTACCTTTTGTTATCCAAATCAATCTTGTTACCCACCAACATGATGACAACATCGTCACCTCTTTCTGCTCGTACATGTTCTACTCACTTATCTGTCTCCTTAAAAGAACTGATGTCTGCAAGAGAATATGTTGCAGAGCGTTGAAACATTTAGGAGAGATTTGGAGAGAACACTTCCTCTCTGCTAATTTTATCAATCTCCCTATCAATCTCTTTATAATCCCCTTTTGAAATAAAACATTGCATAACACCCACTTGTGATGTCATAGACAACCACTGCAATAGTTGAATCACGAATGTAGCTAGGAATTAGGCTGTGAAAGCGCTCCTGGCCAGCTGTGTCCCATAGCTGCAGCTGAACCTGCATAAAACAAATGTTCAGGAAGAAGATGGGGAAAGGTAGAAAAGAAACTAGCCTTTTTAAAAAGCTCAGACCTAATAAAGGCAGAATACAAAAGGTCGGGGAGAGTGGATCCCTGAGAAGTGGCTGCTATAGCCTCAAACCAAGTGGCCTATAGTCCTAGGACAGGTCCAACCAATTTCAATATACTGTTTTGATTCAGGAAGACCCTACGGCACAGCAGATTTAAGGATTCAAGGTCTCTTGGAGTTAATGTTACAGTTGGAGATTAGATGAAGGCAGACAGAACAAGAAACATCATAGGGCTTGGTAATTTGAAGAGGCTTCAGTTTTTTTGATGGTGCTACCCAACTGTGATGAATAGGCCTAAGGGGTTGAAGTGTAGGGTTTGTGGTATGAGAGTTAACACTCACTATTTGGTCCTCCAAGTACATGGTCTTAGACAAGAAGTCAATTCCAACAGTTGCCTGCAAAAGAAAGTGAGAGACACTCCAGCATTCCCTCTGTTCCCAATATGAGGCAGTCTTAGAACCCAAAGTGGAGAATGACCCTTCAAGAAGTTGTCCTGGCTCCACTTCCCAATGCTTATAATACATAACTTTGAGGAGGAGACTCTCCAGGTGAGTCCGCCAAGAAGAGCGGCAAAAATGTACCATATGACTTGGTGATGGGCTTACCTGGCAGGCGCAGCCGAAGCTGTTGTACATGAAGCGGGTGATGACGGATGTCTTCCCTACTGTGAGGGAGTTAAGCAGGCCAATCGTTGCCCTCGGTGCCCTTTCTCCCCCCAGTGTTTCTATGAGCCCTCCCTCTTCCCACTCCAGCCTTTCCCAACAAGGAGGAACTCGGTTCCCCAGAGAATGCCCCACCCCATTTCATACCAATTACACCTCCCTGTCCCCAAAGCCCAACCCAGACCCGCACCGCTCGGCTCTCCCAGGAATAAGAGTTTAGATCTGCACAGAGACTGGTATTCGGTTCTTTCGGCAGCCTCCAGGCCAAAGCCTCCGGCCTCCATCCAGGCCTTGTCGTGACCAAAGGCAGACATCGCTTCAGGTAGGTGGCAGCCAAAATGGCTTCCGACGCTCAGCCTGCGCCGCCAGACGTCATGCCATACTCTACTGACGTCCGCTGACGGCCATTGGCTTCACACCCAGGCCTGGGCACGGCCACGCCCCCTCGGCCCCCTCCTCACAGCTTGCACTGTGCCTCATGTTCAGCGCAATCCTATGGCCACTCGAGTGGGGTCATGGGGTGGAGAGAGGGATGGCCACTGACCGTGTCACAGGAAGTTGGGGTCAGCGTAAGGGAAAAGCACGGGCTAAGTGTAGTGTAATCACGGCGAAGGGGTGGAGGTGGGGAAGATTGTTCTCAGCAGTTCCATGATCCTCCAGGAAGAGGAAATAGGCAAGAGATCGCCAGGCACATCTGAACACACTGATTTATTAGAGTGTTACAGTGGGGGCTCCCACACAGACGGGCACCAGAGCGAGGTGCTCAGCTCCCCTCATCTCCCTCGGCCTCCGCAGCCTTCTGGTTCTCCTCCTCGCCTTTCCGCGTAAACTCCTCGATGACTATGTCCTCAGAGCTTGCAGAAGCAGCAGAAGAGAATGGAGGGTTAGGAACCCCTTTCTGGGTGTCCTCCGTGTCCACTCTTTTTTCCTGATCCCAGAAAAGTGATCCCCTCCCTGCTTCCCAGCTAGGCTCCTCGGCCCACTCTTGGTGCCCCCACTCCTCCATCAGCCACTCTGGCTTGTTTCCTTCCATTCCCGCCCAAATTTCCCAGCACAAAAGTCCCCCAGGAGCACTGGAAGGGAAATAAGGATGAGGGGTGGGAAGGAGGGAAGGTATCAAAGAATGAAAGATGAAAGAAGTAATGGCGAGGGGGTGGGGGAAAAGGAAAAAGAAAAATGGGAAGGGGATGAGGGGGAAGGATGATTCCAACAAGAGCAGAAGGTGGAGGGCGGGGGGGATGCAGAAAGGGAAAGGAGGGCATATGAAAAGCACCGAACTGTGACACGAAGCTAAGCCATATGTTTCCACTGCACACGTATTGAAAGCACCCCAGGGAAGCATTTTCACATTTCCATCATCATAACATGGAGGGTGGCAATGGGAAGAGGGGAATGGGGCTTCCCAGTCTTGTATTCCATTACCTAGCAGCCTCTGTAGCAAGCATGGAGAGAGAGGGAAAAAATGGAGCTGAAGCTGATTAGGGGCTCTTCGGTTCCCTGAAGAAGTATCTTTACTTCCCCCTCCCCCTTCCCAATCCTTCGTCTCCAGCACACACGACACACACACTTCCCCTGAAAACCTAGACACCCAGCCTACCTATTGCTATTCCATCCCCAGGCAAACTGCTAGTCTCCAATTCATGAGATCAGAATGGCTTGGACCCCAGTCCTCAGGACAACCGTTCCTGTGAGTTTCACCTGGTCACTCACCTTGAGATGGCTTCGGATGGATCAGGACCAAGGGTAGCTCCACACCAACATCGCTGCAAGGATCCCAAGGTGGAGTTACATCTCCTCTCTCTACAAGCCCAATCCCTGGACCTCCCTCCCTTAGTTTTCCAGTCTTTGGATGCCCTCAGACCCTCCCGAATCAATCATTTTGCTCTCCTTATCCCCTTGTCCTCCTCTTCTTGCCCAAGTCCCCCCACCCCACAGTCTCTCACCTGGCTGTCAGGTCTCCTAGGATGCTGTGGGTAGAATGACACCCAAAATTAGCAGCAGGAAATACAGAAGGGGCAACCTAGTTTCACTAGGGGATGAGGGATCATAAGACCTAATGAGCCAGCCACAGAATGGGTTTCTGGAAGGGAAAGTGACTTGCTCACTGAGCTCACCGGTTTGGGAACCTGGTCTGGGAGAAGGGGTGGGGAATGGTTTGATTGGGTCAATCTAACTGGGAGAAAAACAGAAGCGAAAAACCCTTGACTCCTCAGCCCCTTCCCAGACAGACCCAGAACCCTCACTTACCCACCACAGGACACCATCAGGTTGACTCTGACTTTGTAGGACACCAGGATCCCCAGCAGCTCTTTGTCCATTCCAGGTCTAATACTGGAGGTTGTAGTATTCGTTTTGGGGTGTTTGGGAGCATGAGGAGTAATTCATTCAGTCCCCAGTTTCTTCTCATGCATTCCCATCACCACACCCTATTATGTTTAGTCTTATCGTAGAATATCTCCCAGGCTCTAACCTCTCCTACCCATTGAGACCAGATTTCTCTTCCTAACATTCACTTTTACCATGTCACCCTCTGCTCAAGAGCCTACATTTTGAATATAACAACTACTCTGCCTGACTTTCAAGACCCCTAACAACCTTGCCCTATCTAGCCTCTCTAACCTTTTCTGCCCTAACTCCTGGGATACAACCTAAGCAGACCCATCTTCTCTCTGTGATCAGAACATGCCATGTGGATTCCCACCTTCTAGCCTTGGCCCATGCTGTGTCCCTAGTCTAGAATGCTCTCTTTTTTCCTCTGTTGGTATCCAGATCCTTCACATTCTTCAAAATCTAGCTTATTCTACCTCCTCCAGGAAGCCCTCACCAGCTCTCCTGGCTTCTTTTAACTTTGTTGCACTTTTACTCTGAACCACGTGCACTAACATTTAACTGTTGGGTTGTATTTGCATCTCTCTTTGTTCCTCATCTAGGCCATAAATTGACTGAAGGCTGTCTTAAACTTCTTTGTATTCTCCACATTGCTTAGCATAGGAATGAGCATGTAATAGGTGTTCAGTAAAAAACCCACTGATGGAAAATAAGACACTGAAAGCTGTATGAGCTTGAGAAAATCTCTTCATTGCTCTGGGCTGCTGATCTCTTACATATAAAATAATGCAGTTTGGATGATTTCTAATGGTATTTCTAGCAATAACAGTCTATAGCTACTTGATTGATAAGGGTAGGGAGAGATGGAGGGATTACACTTGACAGATGGTGGCAGGTGATTTTTGGTGGGAGACACATCTAACACTAGGGCCTCCAAAGGCACAGAACCAAGTGAATGACTTCCTAGAATTCTATTCATTCCTGTTGCATCATTTTCCTTTTTTGCCCTCCTTTTCCTCCATTTCTCATCTCCTAGTCTTCTACTCCATCTTTATCTTTTCTAGAGAGTAGCTTCTGTAGAGATCACAGTATTCGGAGCCAGATGACATGTGATATAATCCTGTCTATGTCTACCACTTAACAGCGATGCCACCTTAAATGAATTCCTTCTTCTCTCTGAGCCTCAGGGTCCTTAAGTGTAAAAGGAAATAAGAACACCTATCCAGGCTACTTTAGTGGGGTTCTCACAAAGATAACATAGTACATATGTAGGACCTTTGTGAACTGTGAAATCGTATACAACATAAGGATTGCTTTCCTCTCCATGTTTTCCTTTTTTTCTGCCTATGACCTAAGCCTGCCGTTGGTCCCACAGGCATTATTGAGCTTACTGCCGGTCCTTAGGCCTGGAGGAGTCTCTGAACACTGCCCTAGAGACACTTTAAAAAACAGATAGGCTTCACTGAAGATGAAACGTCAGAGCTGTAAATGTAGCATGTAGAATGGTTGAGGGGTGGGAAATGGAGGCTGAGAGTTACATTTGAGCTTACATCGTGCTAGAGGCCAGGTTGGTATCTTCATGCTTAAGTTTGCCATCCAGTGCCAGGCCCCGTTTCTGGCAGCTGGCAGCCAGGATTGGGGTTACTGCAAAGCTCTGGGAGAAGCTGGAATTGGCAGCTACAGTCTCCCTTCAAAAGAAGAACAAGAGAAGAATTTAGGCTGGGCTTGCTGACTAAGCATACTTTTACTCCCAAGAGTATCTTGTACAAGATTATACAAGAACCTACTGGAGTATCCAAGAGAGGTGACATGTTTAACTGTGAAGACTGGGGGGAATTAGTTCTGGTGGGAAATCCTTATGCCCCTGCCCTCGCTCAGCATCGTGATGGGATTGCTGGGGGTAAGTTGCATCTCCTCCATCTAGTTCTCCTGGGAATCCCTCCCTGGGATCTTCCACCACCCTTTTTCCCCCAACCCCCTCACCTGCTTCCTGGACCTCTTTCCACCACCCCACCCCTTGGCTCTCTGACCCTAGCCCCAGCACCAGCTCACGTGAATTCCTGAATGAACACAGTCTTGGAGTACTTGTCTAGTGAATACAGGACAACATCTGTGGTCTGGTCAACTGAACAAGCCAGGAAAAGCACATGATTATATCAGTCAGTCATCCTTGAGACCCCAGCTCAGTGTCCTTAGTTGTGACCTTATACATAGGCACACTATACATGATGCAGTAAGACATGCTCATTGACAAAATAAGATATGCATTTTGACAAGCCCATGTTAGAGGGAAAGCCTAGATGAATGCAGACAGGTAAGTGAGGCAGAATTTTGGAAAAAGACCTGTGGCTTTGGGACCAGGTGCACAGGGATGGAAAAAGAAACTCACCTGAAATCTTGATTTTTTTGATGACCTTGTTGGTGCAGTTGTTGATGGAAACATTGACAGAGATGGGTTCTCCATGGTAGTGAACCTAAAGCAGGAGGAGGGACCCATGTCAAGGCTGGAGGAAGAATGCGCAGATGGAGACCCAGAACCCCTGCTTCCTTAGCACTGTTGTCACCCTGGCTCCCATCTCTGCCTGCCCAAGTAGGAAATCAGTGAAGAAAGGGCATCAGAGGGGTTCTGGGGTGGAAGGCAAAAAGTGGGGGTCACAAACCTCACTGTCCATCCAGGCCTGGAGTTGTAGGGGCTGAGCTGACAGAAGGAAGCGGCGGATGGTCTGGGCTGAGGGGCCAGGGCCTGCCTCTGGTGGTGCAAATTGTACTTTCCGGACAACCAGCCGCACATAGTCTCTGAGCAGAGACCAAGGGATTAGCCAGAGCGTCCTCCTTTCAGACCCACAGACCTCTCCCATGCCACCCCCATAGTCCAATCGTTACTTAAGAATGGGAGCAGAGGAAGGCCTCCCTCAGAGAACTCTTCTAGTCCCTTAATGCAAGTATGTAGACCAAAGGTTAGTAAACTGTGGCCCACTGGCCAAATCTGGCCTGATGCCTGTTTGCCTATGGCCCACAAGCTGAGA